AATATTTTATGCTACAAGTTCTGTTTTGTTTTACAACAATTATGAAGGAACTCTGTCATCCTTCAAAACCTATGATGGTGTTGCATGATTCCTTTACCAAGGAAGTTTTCCTATGTCAGAGAAATGTCAAATCTGTGCTCTGCGACAAGTTCAATAGGTCACAGTCACTTAAACCTCTCCTTTGTAGTCTCTGATGGAGATACCCAAATAGGCTCTTAATCTGATAAGCTTATTCTTCTGCAAAGACAGGASCCTTAATTTCCCCAGCCAGTTAAACATGCTGCATAATAGCCCTCACAGAATGCCAGACTTTATATATGGCTGAGCAAGATGTGAGTACTTCTTCACTTATCTCAGAAAGATTGTTATCTTAACCTCAAGATACTGAGTCAATATCCTCAGACAGCTGGACCCTTTGCTTACCTGCCTCTGGACACATTTGGAATCATACTCCCTTCACATACTAGTTACGTTTAAAATAATTTAAAATCCTTTAAAATCACTTAAAATTAGATTCTGTTTTCCTTGTTCTCTTGTTTAGCTTGTAGTGTAGCCTGATACCAATTCAGTGAAAAGAGAAATGAAACAGAAGAGAATTAACMTAGCTGAAGGAATGACAAAATTAAAATACAGTCCTTCCTCAGTCCATAGACTTTCTGCATAYCTGAAGAGAAAAACAAAAGCTTAACATAGCCAGCAACAAAAATTAATTAATTTCTAAGTAAATGATGATAGCAGAAGTCAAGAAGTGTTCCCAGCTCTCTCAATTATTTATTATGCTACAAGWCATTTCAAGTAGTTCCACACTGGGGGTTCTCAAATCTCAAATCAGGGAACCTCAAAAAAGAGCCTTATTCTGTGTATGACAACATAGAAGCTACAGAGAAAAAAAAATGCTGCAAATGAGTTTCTTCTTTTCTAAGAATAGAAAAAATGAGATTGGCTGTTCTTTGGCTGCACGAATACTTTGAGGTGTTTTAAATCTCTCCCTGAGCTCCTCTTTAGTGTGACTGTTAGGTCTTACTGAGACATGACAGTCTCATTTGGAGTACCTAGTGTTGAAAATTCCAGGCCATTCAGGCAATAAGGAAATGCAGAGGCACACGGGGAGATACCCACAGTGCCTTCTCTAACAGAGAATCCTCAGTACAGGAGAAAATGGATCTCATTTGTATAAGACATCTACATTTAGGAAGACTCATATCTTTATTCCTATCAAGGTAAATTCGGATCTGTGTGGGTTAAACAGATGGCACTACAGAAACATACTGTGAGAAGTGACTATTGCCAGATGCTTTGAGTTTTACATTTTAGAGTACAGAATCACARAATGGTTTGGGTTGGAAGGGACCTTAAAGATCATCATTCCAACTCCCGTGCTGYGGGCAGGGACATCCTCCACTATTCCAGGTTGCTCAGAGCCCCATCCAAACTAGCCTTGAACAATTCCAGGGATGGGACATTCACAGATTCTCTGGAAAAGCTGTTCCATTGCCTCACTACCCTACAGTAAAGAATGTGCTCCTAAATCTAACCTAAACATATTCTACTTCAGTTTAAAGTTATTCTGCCTTGTCTGCATATCCTCTTTCTCCAGCACTCTTGATGACTCCTTTAGGTACTGGGAGGCTGCTCTAAGGCCTCCCCAGAGCCTTCTCTTCTCCGCACTGAACAATCCCAACTCTCTYAGCCTTTCGTCAAAGGAGAGGYGCTCCAGCTCTCACMTTCTCTTTGTGGCTCTCAGTTATGCCCCTGGTCTCCTCAGCAGTTTTAGGGGAAGGTTGTTTCATTCACTCYGGGCACTATGCAGGAGAAATAACAAAGCTCTCAGAAGGTTGATCAACAAACATTTACTTGCAAAGTTTGGAGCATTAAAATAGAATAAGGTGCCATGGCAAATTTTAAAAAAGCAACAAAGTAGCAAACTTTTACTGTTCACCAATTTCAAGATATCCGGACAACAGTGTACTTACTAAGGCATTGATTGGAATTTTTTAGTCTGGTTTACAACGTATTTTGAGAAACAGTTAGGAGAAGAGAGAAAGAGAGAGAGAGAAAGAAAGAGAGAAAGAGAGAAAGAGAGAAAGAGAGAAAGAGAGAGAGAAAGAGAGAAAGAGAGAAAGAGAAAGAGGGAGGGAGAAGGAAGGAAGGAAGGAAGGAGGGAGGGAAGGAAGAAGGGAAGGAGGGAAGGAGGGAAGGAAAATGGTAGAAAAACATCACCGCCTGGTGGATCCATCACCGTGGATCCAGCAATGAGATTTGATTGTTGCCTTTTCAGTGTCTAYTGATCAAAGTGATGGTCACAGTCTTTATTCACCTGGGGTGGGCAAAACCCATGAAACACAACATTCAGTGGGTTGATATACACTCAAGTTCAGCTGGAACACCCAGGTACTTCCCCTGGGGTGAGGAGTTTTACAGTGTCTCATGTAAAACTGTGACCCATSTTATACATTGTGGATGATGCCTAATCCTCTGATGGAAGGCCCCAGAAATGAGTCTGGGGACACTTTGCAGGTCTTTGATGATTTATGACATCTTCTCTCACATCAACGTAATAGGGCAAACCAATTACATTCCATCAGAAGGGATGAATAATGTGAATGTCCCAGAAACTTCCTCTGGCAAGAGGGGGTTTTACAACTGGGCCTGTTGGGTAAAGGAGGACMCTGGCAGAATTAAAAGCACAATCCCACCTCACAGAATCTGCTTCTTATCATCTTCTTCCTTTATTTGGCTCAAATTCCAGCTTCTTSCTAAGGAAAGGTTCATTTGTCATGGTCACCATCTGGTGCTCACACCCCTGCACATGGGTGGTTTCCATGGGCATAGTCAGCAATGCACCTGATTGTTTGAGCCATTAACCAATAAAATTTCAGTCTCTCACACTCCCCTGTGGACCTGCTAGAGCATTACAAAGATTTTTGAAAGGGTCAGAACATTTAAACAACTCTGAAGCACCGTACAACTCTGTGTATTTCATATTTAATGCATAAACACACACACACACACTCCCCACACCTGTGTTTGTATTTATACATTTAAATCTATATATAGGTGTTATAAATATATAAATTGTTGTATTTCAGGGCCTCACCCTTGTGTCACTGTACGTAATGACTGTAAACAACTCATTTATTTCTCACGCACAGATGCCAGCTGCTGCTGCCCGAGGGACAGGTCTGTCTGACAGTATTTCAGAGGCTGCAGGAATCAAAGCACCCAGCTCATTTTTGGGGAAAGTTTGCCATCTAGAGGCCGTATCTGGCAGCACTAGGAGATTAAACCTTAATAAARCAGATTAAGGGTGTCCGTAGACATAGTTCAAAACAGCACTGCCTTTAATACATTGAATGTTTAGCTTTGTTAGCGGCATCATTTTGAAAACGCCGAGCTAATGCTCTTCCCTAAATCAGAACCAGTTCTTTACAAAATAAGCTTGGTCCTAGTGTAAGGGGATTTAAAAAATATTAATAAAACATAACCAAAATGATTAATTTTAATACTTTTAGGGTAGTAAATATATTTTCAAAGATCATCTCCTTTTCTGCTGGTGGAGTAAAGATCAAATAAGCAATAAAAACAAGTACACGCATGACAGACTGAATTCAACATTTGTAACAGCGAACGGCAAAAATTTGTTTTCTTTGGAATATCACTTTTTATTGTCCTTAAAGAAATACCTCAAACTCCCTTACTTTTTTTCCGCTGAAAAACGCTGAGTGATATTTCCGTTATCACTTATTTGTATCAAATTAGAGATGAAAACAATTTTTGAATGAAAATACCATTAAAACACCTTTAAAAGATTAAGAAAGATCTTCAAAGATACTTGGCAAACTTTCCAGAAAAGTTTGCAGAAAGACTAGCAGAGTTATACTTTCAGGAACATTTGTGCATGAATCTGACTCCAGCTGGGTTTAACGATTTCGTTTTGCTCTCTCTTTTCAGATCAAGTAGATAATAATTTGGTTCTCCGGTGTTTTTCTTTACTCTTGTGCCAARAAAAGAGGTTGTTCATCCCCAGTTGCCCAGGAGATACAGAAATTGCAGGAGCCAGTAAAGCAAGATTTTTAAGATATGAGAAAATTATAGTAGCCTGGAAATTTCCCTCTTTTTGAGACATATTTTCTACATGAATTATCTGCTGTTCCCTGAATTTTCACTAAGACTAAAGAACATCAAGTGTTGAAGATCAGCACCAAGGTCAGACTTGCCCCAGTGGGTGTTTGAGAATGTGGAAATGAAGACAATGGGGATAATTTTCAGAGAGCTTTGGCCTACTGAAGCTCTTTTCACTAAGGTGTGATAGATGTTGAAATTATTTTCAAATACATTTTGCTGGAATTACTAAAAACMGTAAGAGGATGGTTTCCACATGTTTTGATGGAATTAACTTCCTTAATTTTTGTTGTCTTTATTTTACTGGCATTGGACCCCATCTGAATTTTCAGCTTCAGTAAAACCCTGAGGCAAATAATTCCAAGAGCTCAGTTTCTTTTGCATGTAAGTGGCTTTCTTTTGCTTGMTTTGACTATATGACAGTTTCATACAATGGCCCTTATTCCTTGCAATGAAAAAGGTGGTGGTCAACCATTCCTAAAGATGTGGCTTTTAGTTACAGAGGGCTTGTTCCCAGGCTTAATTTACTGGTGCAGGTGGAATATGTTTGCATGACTTTCTCTAATGCCAATAAAAATTCTCTCAAGYCCCCATGTTCACCAGGTACAACTGAGCAGAAGTTTAGAGGTCTCTTCCTTTTCTCAGAGACACCAAAATCACAACCTAGGAAAAGCACTGCATTGCTGTGCATAAAACCTCTGTTTCCTGCTTCAGTTAATGAACTCAGACCAAATAGATCTTGCTTCTGATTCCCCACCCAATTAGAATAATGATATCTGTTGTCAAACAACTTGATATCCATGAATGATGAGACATATGTGAGTTAAACATTATTAACACATGAATTCAGAAACCTGGATCTTCTTTTTTTTCCAGGCGGGTTGGTCCAGAGGAATACAAACTCTAAGATCAAACGTGTGAAGAAGTAGCAATTACTTGTTGGTACTGCCAGAGAAATCTTGGTGGAAATAACTGACTTTCCCAAGGCAGGTGAGAGCATGCAGCTAGTTGCTGTCTGAGAAAGAATTGTATCTACTAGTGAAAAAGGATCATAATAGAAAAAACTTTATTGAATTTTTAAAATACATTGTACACTTTATATTCTAATATACAGAAGGAAACACAGCCCTTACTGTGTTACTCCACACAATATTTTTATTCTACAATCATTCATTTTTTTCCAACATGAAAAAAGCATATCTTTTTATGCAGCATATATCACAGAGCTGGGCTTTACAAAAAAGCTAAAAGAAATCAGATATTCAAAACCCCAGTGATATTCCCAGCTCTTTTGTAAATCCTACTTCTACTATTCTGATTAGTACAATCAGGTGTTGCTTAGCTGCTTTTTGTTCTTTCAAAAATGGACAGATATGTATTAGTTAGAACAAAGACATCCCCTCTACAAAGTCTGCACAYGTGTTTGCTACCAATGCATTTAAAGGAAAATAATTTTGAACTTTGCATTGATTTGCAGCAATTTTTCTTTTCAGGAATCAAATACCACACTGCTTTCTAATAGGAATTTAATTAATTCCTCTTGTTCAACAATTAATTAGTTCACGGTTTCTGTGTATGTATTGAACATGCATATTGACAGTTCTTTATGAGAAAAGACATGAGGAGACAGCACACATTTTAGTCACACTTTGCAAAGATAAATCTTAGCAATATCATACAGTGTCCTTCATTAGAGAACTGTACTCTTCTACCAATTTCTTCTTCTCATTYAATTTTTCCAGTATGGCGTCCATTAAGTATGAGGCAAAAGGAAGCTGAAAAAGAAAGAATAAGAAAAATGATCATTGGACTTTATTTTCTTCATGTGAAAGACATTTATTAAATATCTTTAAACTATCAGATTTCACTTAGTTCTGACAACTACCATACACACATATCTGGTCTTTAAAGTTCATCTGCCTGGTTAGTGTCTGAAAATTTGCTCTCTATCATAAAAATGATAAAAGAGCAGTGTAAAATGAAAAAAGATAAACTCCTTATTGAACAATTCATGCTTTACTGGCCATGTTAATGATGTAAACTGCAGTACCAGCATCTCTGTCATTTATCTTCAATCAGCTGATCAATAAAAGGTTACAGTCACCTCTAGGGCATGCAGAAATGGTAGTGTATGAGTGTAAGTTCACTACTCTCAGGAGGATGAGACAGAACTACCAGTATAATTCTCAATGCTGTAGCAAATTGYCTTAGATTCACACACAAAAACCTGTAAATTATCAAAAAACAACAACAAAAAGACCAACAATACCCCAAAACAAACAAAAACAAAACYACAAACCACAACAACAACAACAACAAAAAAAAAAAACACCAAACCCCAAACAAACCAAAAACAAACAAAAAATCCAACCWTCACTCAAGGCAAAATCCCAAACCTCCAACTGCATTAATTGGAATATGACACAAATGTCTGCTTCTCAAAAAYACAACACAAAAAAATTGTATTGACAYATCTACAGAGAAAAATTGAAACCTCTTTTATAACTCCTCTAATATAAAAGATTAATTTGCACAATCAATGGCTTCAAAAGAGATTTGGTATATTTTTCGGTATCATTGCTTWAATGCTTAAAAAGGTTTTGCTGGGAAATATTTTTAGAGATAGCACAGAACAGTGGCCAGTGCTGTGCCTCAGGAGAACAGGACAATTTACCTTCACTGTTGAAAAGTCTCTGTCAGCTTCACAGCGCTCTGTCAGCTACCTGAACACCTTGTGAGACCAGTGCCACACAGCTCATTCAGAGGGAGTGTGTTGGTTTTACTTGGCCCAGTTTTTGGAAGTGGGGGGGCCAAAAAGACGGCTCCTCAGAGAAGCTTCTGGAGGCTTCCACCATGTCCAGCAGAGCTCATTGCTGTTGGCTCTGAGGATGATGGACATGCCACTGACCAAACCTGGGCCAATTAAAGATAGTGGTTACGCCTCTGTGAAAACATATTTAAGAAGAAAATCAAAACAAAGGG